AAATCCTAACGGTGAATTGATTATTACATCTGTACTTATTAACGAGATAGATACTTTTGGAATTCCGCTGTTGCTTTTCCTACAGCTGCTAGCGTGTGTGATTGCGTACACCGTGGGGCACCGTAAATTCACGCCTAGTTTTTGGAAGCGATCTATCGCGGCTGCAACGTGAGCTTGGCGTTAGGGCGCATAAACTTAAAGCAACAATTTTTGGCCCAGAAGAAACATGGGCAAAAACACAGTATCGGCTCCAGAGACGTTACCGTCAGACTAGAATAATCGGCGCTTTTCGATTTGGATGGGCATTTTGCACTTTCACTGGATCCTTCTTTAGTTCATGTTAAATGACAGGTCTCAATTTGGTAAGACCTGTAAAGTCTTCTGGAGCTGCGAAATGAGATAGAGTGGTGTTACCTTGGTCACTGGGATTTACATGGGCTGACAAGGAGGTCTGTCCAAGTTTCATTGCTCCCACCAAGCCGAACTGCGCCTAATAAGCCAATACGGGCTAGGACATACATATCATGCTAAGATACAGTGTCCTGCCATCCATGAAACGTCATCATCAAGTGCGTCCAGGGTTAGAAGATCGCATCTGTTGTCTCTTTTTATTCTATTTCACTTTGCATTCACTTATTTTCAGGGATCACGGCCGCAGGAGTCCCCAAGACAATTTCGTATAAACAATGGCCAGCCCATATACTCCATGCCGCGAACATCGAAGGACGTGACTGCGTACTCAAGGTTCAGCATTGGGAAGTGTAAAATGGCGCTGTCAGTGCGACTGCTTATACTCGAGATCCCTGAGATCGGGGGCTGCATTCTTCAACTTAACCTGAAGGTGTCTATGCTTCTGGTGAGATATTTTCATCTTGACACAATTGTTGTCGTGTCTCTGTCCAACACAGAACAAGATGACAGTTGGTCCCAGATTGGAATACAGGAGGTAAGCTAGTTCGTTGCTCATTTCAAATGGCCTACGCCTACTCTGGCTCAGGGATAAGGAGTGACTTGCGAGCAGGTCGGCCCCAGCATCCCCCCTCGCCTGCAAAGGTTTTTTTCTGATGCCTCATGAGATAATTACATATGAGACCACTTTACGCATTTGGGCCTCGCCGTACTGGATCGGCGGACACATCACATGATGACACAGGGAAATTTTATTAGCAAAGCAAAATGCGTGATACACTTATATTATGATAAAGTATTACAAAATGAAGATCTTTTAAAAAGCTAATTGCAACATAAGGGCACCAGCTGATTATTAAGCGAGTTTCTGAGAAAGCACCTGTATAAATAAGCAGCGACCCACGCCAATTAAAGCAGCTACTGGTAATGTAAATCTTCGCGCATGTTTTAACGTTTGGCATCTTGTCCACACGACTCAGAAGCATGAACAGGGCAGTCCCGAAGAATGCTGAGACCATTCACTGGTGACACTGAGCGTGTGCACCGAGATAAGAAGTTCAGCATAATCTAAAGAAAATTCATGGATAAATCAACGGGGAGATAAAAATAGGATTAGCTTTATTTGGCTCAACGCGGCTCTTTCCCTCAAAAGGATACAGGATAAAGTTTTCGCAGGTGATCAATCACTTCTGGGGATGCGGCCGCATTCTACTTCCATTTAGAACCATAGTGGCTTACTGAATGAGATGTGGCTTATACAAATGACTTGCGGGGTCACTCGATGTACAATTCAGCATTCTTATCATCTCTAACGAATTTAGCAGCAATTTACCGCACTCAGAGAAACTGAAGGCTCTGTTGAACTAGGCGAGGAGCCCATCTGCGCCTCTCTGATTCCAGATCGTGCTGGTGTTGTAAGCGGCGCTGGCGCTCACAACTATACTGCTCCGTGCTTCGACAATGCATAACTGACACTGAATTATATATAGGAATGTCTCCACTGTTTCGCAGATCCCAAACGATGATATTTGTGTCAAGTCCACCCGTAGCCAAGTGGCGATTGTCAGGGCTCCATGCCACACAGTTAACTTTGGCAGTATGGAATGTCCATTCCTTGCTGGCGACGCTTTTGAAGTCTTCTACGGAATAAGGAATCACCTATAAAACTACGCTTAAGAAATTAGTACTAATAGCTAGAATTCATATTTTTTTTCACCTTACGGCCACTGTCCGTCGCGACCAAGTATTTTCCATTTGGGGAAAATGCTACACTAGTGATAGGGGTTGTGTGGGGCAGGGTCGTCTTCTCTTGTAAAGCTCCTCCAGAATATGAGAAGACATGCACTTTTGAATCCTGAAAAATTCTACAAGTCCAAGAAGGCAGAGCAAGGCTGAACAACTATTGCTAAACATGAATAAATTTTAAATGAAAAACTACCTGCCCGCCGACAGCAACGAGGTTACCATAAATAGCAGCACAAGAAGGATTGAAGTTCGCGCTGAGATCCGCTGATAACTTCTCACCCTTAATAAACAAGAACATCGATAAAGACTTCCTTTCGGAATATCAAGCAAGAAATCACAAGAGCTCACAAAGCCGACAACCCGCGATTGCAAACCGCTTTATCCGGGTTAAGAAACAAAAGGGTATGCGGTAAACGAGTCAGCTAAGAAAAAAAAACAATCCCATCTGTTTGGTCAAAGCGCAAAGCGATAGTGCGGGGAGAACGTGAACCGTTGGGAAGTGGCAGAGGTCTACGCAGCCAGCAAGACGGTATCGCTGTACAGCGAAATGAAATATGAAGATCGGGGTTTGAGCCCAGTAGGCGGAGCCAGACAACGTAACAAGCCTCTGGCGCACCTATCAAGCACTTTCTAGCTGCCAAAGCGGTACACTTCTGCAATGGCAGGTCTTCTAACTTCTATAAAGGATTCTACACATTAGGAAATCGCGGAATGTGTTTCTAAACATACATATTCGTAAGGTCGAGACTCGGATACTCTAAAATGTTCATTGAAACACATCTAGTATTGAGCTCAGAGCACGTTTTGGCGTTCGGTAACATCTTACGAATGAACATCCTTACCCCTGCGTAAGAGACCTCCAACCTATGACGTGCCCAGATTGGCAAGAATCAAAGACATATAACCGAAACCCCAAAAAACGAAACCTCAAACACCAAAATGTTCTTGTAACATGCTATAACAGTCGAGTGACCTTCCGAAGCCATACCTTGTGGCTGTGATGGCAAATTCACACTTGATGACTGTATGGAATCTAAGTTAGGTAAGATCACGCAGCGATCAAATATCCACACTAGGGAAAAGCTTACCAGGACTGCCCATGACTCCGCGAGTAAAACGGACTGTATCGTCCCATGCACAGCTGATCACGACTTCATCTTTTCCAGTAGTCAACCCCACCACCTGAAGTGATATTATACGGCTACGGTTGACCATCAGATACTCACGCTGTGACATGTACCTGAGATTTGTGAAGAGCTGGTTGGACTCGAATCGACTCGCCATTTGAAATATTCCAACGAGCTAAAGAAACATTCAAGCAGTTTAGTACCAACGGTCGAAAGGAAGCATGAAATGGCAAGAACACTCACATATATGCCCCTCAAAATCGGCTGTAATCAGCCATTGTTTGCAAGAAGAAAGCGCTAGTGTTGTTATTCCCTTATTGTGACCATGAACTACCTAAAATAAGATATTCCGCTCAATTGCATCACAGAATAACAATAGGAAAGGAGTTTGTTTACCCTAGTTATATTTCCTTCAGGATCAATAAAGTTAAGGAATCCTGCAAGTGAAACTGATACGAGAGCCTTTGGGCTCCATGAGATTCCAATCTGTTGGTCCTCAGTGGAGTCGCCGAAGGTTACCACTCTAAATGTTTCAAGTATTTTTAGCAAAAGGCATAAGCCTAACAAGGCAATGAGTGGGAACCTAACTTACTTTGTGAGAGATTTCTCCGGAACATTCCAGATTTTTACCGTTTTGTCCCCGGATGCTGTGGCAATCTTCTGACCGCAAGGTGACCAAGCCAGTCCGAATACGCTTCCAGCGTGGGCAGCACCTCCCTGCATTAATTTTTTTCAAATGAGTGGAACCTCACTACAAAACGTTCTATGGAATGTAGCTCACCTTTACGGAATCATCAACTAGTTCTCCGGTTTTTGTACCATCTGTTCC